CCCCAAAACCCCAAAACCCCAAAACCCCAAAACCCCAAAACCCCAAAACCCCGATGTGGGCATGGTTATTGATAAATATTAGTGAGGAATGTTATTTATAGGAGCATTGGGAAGTGTCGTTTGATCTCTTTGAGGATTGCAGCCGGGTCTTTTTAGTATAGACCTTGTTTACACTCTTACAGAGTGACTTCTTCTTGTAGCCCATCTGATAAGTCCTGTCATTATAGCTCAACGATGTTATTAACGGTGAGGCATTACTATACTTCTTCTTTGGTTTAGTTGCAAAGGATCTCTGAGTGTAATCATGATTGTTAGTCACCTTTGCCTTTTCTCTATCCAGCTGTATCTGCAAATACTTTGATTTTAAAAATGTCTTCTTCCGACTAGTCGAAGCCAAAGTGCTGTTCTTCTTGACAAGTTTCTGCAGTCTATTATCCAAATTATTTCTGAGTCTTCTTATTAATACTCCTCACCTTTTTGAAGTTTTTCTTCAAGGAATTTATATTGTAGGAGAAAATAGCTGGGCACATCCGAGAAGTTTGTGCTTTCATAGTTTTAGGTGTTTTGAGAAACTTAGGCGATGATACGAATTTTCCACCCTCGTCACTCATGATAGACGCCTTCACCATAGCGCTAGTTTCTGAATGTATAACTACACTTGAGTTATCAGAAAATTTAGATCCATTGGTGCTTGTATAATTCAGGCTTAACTTCTTAGTAAGGTTCAACCGGTAATCAGACTCTAGTTTACTTATCCGTTGACTTCTCTTCGCTCTTGAGTCATCAGCCTTGGTTAAATAGTTAGTATAGTTCTTCCTCAGGATCTTGGACTCTTTAGTTAGCTTCTTACTGTGGTTTCCATGGCTCTTATTATACTTATGGCCTTGCTTAATGATAGAGTTGACCCTGGTCTTGTTCCTTTCAGCAATGGCCTTATAACTTGCTTTCTTAGAAGAGCCGTACTTGAAAGTATAGGAAGTCATCTTCTTCAGTTTGACCTTAGATTTCTCAGTGGCTTTATCAGTATTGGCCTTAGAGCTCTTCTTGAGATTGCGCATAATTTTCTCGTTTTTCAAGATCTTACTAGCTGTCTTCAAAGACTCATTAATCTTCTCCTTATTCGCTGAAACCTGGGAATATGTCTTGGCGCTATATTCAGATATTTTGTCAGGATGAAACTCAAGTTTTCTGGGGTTTATCTTGCTATTTCCTTTTGAAATTTTCGGCTGAGTTATTGATCAACAGCTTGCCCTCGTACATGCAAATGTTCCTTGACTGAGAAGCCGACGTGTTCGGGTTCATCATACTGTCTCTTAATTCTTCACTCCTTGTTTTCTCCTGAAGAGTGCCTATTTGTCAAAAATTTAGGCTACATTTTTCGAGAATATCTTCAAAAGTGGAAAATAGAAATTTCAGAAAATTAGGTGTAGAATATACTTACTGGGAAGTTCTTGCCTCCTGGATGAATGCAGCAAGCTCATCCCTTCACTGTTCAGGTTCTTATATTTGAATGAAAAGTTAAAGGATGGAATCGTCGTGCTTCAGTAATAGGTGTTATCCACGCTCCCAGACTCTTCCTTCTTCGGGAACAGATCTACTCTGATGTGTGGAGACTCACACCTGATCGGAGGGGCCACCGCCTTCCCTGGAGCTTGAGATAAGTCTTTCTCAATAGAGTTTGCCTCTGATTCCACATTTTGAGGATAATTGGAATAAATTTTAATCTCTTCGATACTATGAGCGTCAAAGAGAGGATCATTCTTGGCATTCATCTCATCCTGCTGATCAATACTAATAGATGATTTTTCATCAGAGCTAAGAGATGATGAAAACTTCGGAGAGTATATATTATGCTCTTCGCTCTCATAAGAAAGGTTCATCCTGAGCTCTTGCATACTATTATCTCACTGGTGATATTCTTTATCAGTACGAATCTTCAAAAATGGCTTATTTTCATTAACTTTTTCATTGGTTTTACTAAAGGTCACTAGAAAATTACCTTTTAATTGCATTTTTAGTTGCCTTTCTCCTTTCAATAATCTTAGCAATGTCTAATGGAGTAAAATTATTTTCTGAAATATTGTTTCAAATCTGACTCAAGGACTCTTGTACTGAAACTGAGTTTTCCTTACTTTCCTCATTTTCCTCAAAAGTGTCTGTTAGATTAATTATCTCATTTTGCTCAATATCCTGTGTATTTGCGACTTTTGTGAGGTACGAAATATAATAGTGCATGTCAATATCATAATCCCCAACTCTGACATTATTGCCTCTCCTCTTCAAGGAATCATTGACCAAATTCTGAATAAATACTTTGGAATTAGAGACGCAGAACATTCAGTCAAAAAGGGGTACGAGGACTCCCAGATCTTCAGTTTGAGCCTTATCGTGCATTTTGACTTTCTGGCTTACCAAGTCGCTCTGCTCTTGGTTGGTCTCAAGATCATTGCCCTTAATCTTCTCAGATTCCATCCGTCTGATACCCATATCTACAAGTTGCTTATTCTGTTGGATCTCTGTAGCCTCAGAACACCCAGGATCTTCAACTCTGACTTGTTTCTCTAGCTCAGGTGGGTCTTGAGGGACCTCATCTTTGACCTCTAAAGTATAAACGAACCCAGTTACCTTCTTCGCTACAACTTGAGGGTGGATTCTTGTTATTAAAATAGTCTGAGTCGTCCTCTAAAAAGTCTGAGTTTCCGTTGCTAGAGATGTGGGACAGCCCGCTCATATTCAAATCTAGCTCTTCCATTTTGAGTCTTATTTATTATAATCAGCCCTTTGGCTACCTAAAGGGGTTTTGGGGTTTTGGGGTTTTGGGGTTTTGGGG